TAAATGGCTGTCAGGAAAATTTATGACAATCTCTTCTCTTTAAAGTACACTGAACCGAGGAAAATCTGCTGGAGTATTTAGAAGCTCATTCTGGAAAGCAATACTATAAATCAGGCTCCTTTATCTCTAGTCTGCCATATACTATGTCCATGATTTGACAAGTTCTTCCTAATTACCCACCTTAATTACAGTAATTATATATTTTATAGTAAATGCAAGTAATAAAGTTCATTTGGAAGATAAATTGTCAAATACAGGTTTTTTGTTTTTTAAGGTAAGGAAAACGTGGGAGAAGTCTGACCATCCCATTGGACTCATTCTGCAGGTCCTATCTACATTGGAGGTAGAGGGATGTGTGTGTGCACATACATATACATATGTATACACACACATATGCATACGTGTGTGCATATATATGTATGCATACACACAAATATCTATGTGTACACATTTAAATAAATATATACATATAGAGAAGGATGTATGTGTGTATGTGTGTGCACACGCGCACCCACTCTATCACCTACCTTTCTGTCAAAAGATAAGTAGCAGGATGTGGTTAGCAAAAGAGACCCCTAAAAATAGTAGTCACTCAATCAGTAAACGTGTATTAAGCACCTACAGTAAGTCAACAAGCATGTATTAAATTCTGCTATAAGAAAAAGGTGAAATATTTTTCATATGTAACATTAAAATTAAATATATATAATATGTAATATACTTTAATGTATAATTATAAATCATTAGACTGTACTGTAATAATTATGTTATTATTGAATATAACATCTAATAATATTACATACGTACGTATACACATACATACACATTTTGAGGGGACATGGCTGACGTAGGAATTTGTTTTACTTGACTATACACATTTGTAATACGAGGTTTTTTCTTTTTTTTCCTCATTTAGGTGAGAGAGAAAGAAAGCAGACTTTTGCTTACTGAAAAATACATAAAATTTAATTTAAAAATCCAGTTCTAACAACTCTAGGAGACATCCAAACAGTGAAGCATTAATTCACTTCATAAGGGATCTCACCACGTCAGCGAAAGATAATGACCAATACTCTGACGCTGGCCATCTGAAATAGGAAAATACTGAATGACTTTTGAAAATGAACTCTCCCCTCCATCTTAGATGCAAGGGCTTCCTACCAGGTGAAGAAGGCACACACAACAAGGTTTCTGGCACCACCAGGAATCTATCAATATCTGCTTTTCTGAAGTTTTAAAAGCAAACTTCCTCAGGCTCCCTTTCATCTGTAGTGAACCTCCCATAAGAAACCTTCCCTGCTGCTCACAATGGGGCATCTACAAAAGCTTGCTGACTGATATGGCTGTCACGCCATTAAGGGTCATTTTACTCCACTGTGGATCTGACAATTACTTTTGTCAGTTAACAGATGCTACACAGTTTGCTGTGCTGAAATCAGTTAAATAGGAAGGACTGGAACAACAATTAAAAAAAAATTAAAAGTACTGTAGAGTCTATAAAGCAAAGGGCCAGAACTTCAGACTGCAACAGGGCCACTAATCAATGTAAGCTATGGGGACAGAACAACCAGTCACACACCACTCTTGCCAGCAAGAAATATCACCAGCAATGTCTTTGCACCAAGTCTCTGGTCCTAGGAGGCTTGGGAAGCAGGCTGAACCCAGGTATTGGGATGGCATTGATGACCTGGGACAAGCAAGGAATACAAAGGTTTACAAGTCCATAGATCTCCACTATCCCTCTGGAATTTATCTGTCCAAGGACCCCAGGTTAAGACACCCAAGAGGAGGATTCTAGTAAAGGCATAAACAGACACAGGCCATAAGCTCTGGCACTTCCTTTTACTACTGACAGACTCATATCATAAGATAAGATACTGTGCAGTCCAACGCACTTCAAGCTTCACCTGCAGACACCTGAATCTCAGGCAAGTAAAGCCAGCCTGTCTAATTACACAGGAAAAGCCAAATCCAAAATGTCGTTTCTAGTTAATATAGTAACCTACTTCTATTTTAAAATATCACCACTTTGGACTTCTGTAGTGCTTTCCACCATAGAACCATAAAGCTTTGGGGCTAGTCCCAAAATATACCACACTGTTCTACCCGCCGCCTCTCTGCACCCCAGGAATGGGCAGAGAAACACGAGTTTGTTTAAAGACAACATAATCTAGTGGTCTGGAAAGAGAAATGTACTACCCAGAGTTAAACCTCATCATTACAATGTTTATGTTCAGGGTTGGGGGGGAGGGGGGTTACTAATGTATTGATTGGTTTTGCTGATTATTTTTCTCTTCTTCCTCTTTTTTTTCCTCTTAAATGAAACACTCTTATTGTTGAACTCTGAAAGAATTAAGATCTCTGATCAACACAATGACCAACCATGATTCCAGAGGATTCATACTATGCATACTAAACATACTACTCATCTTCTGACAAACATGAAGGATTCAAAAGTGATGACGTCTTTTAGATTTATACATGTAAGTGATTTCACATGCTATGTGTGCTTTCTTCACTTTGTATTAAAGACCTCCCATCCAAGACTGAGAGGATAGTTTGTTTTCAAAAGTCATTCACTGTTTTCCTATTCATTCAGCTGGCCAGTACCAGGGATAACCATTCATTATCTGCACTGACTTGGTGAGATAAATTATGAAACATTGTGTACATGTGTTTATAGCCCAAGTCCTTCACAGTTGTTTGCAAAGACTGTTTTATTAAAAATTTTTAAAAAGAGGAAAAACAATCAGCAAAATCAATCAGTACATCAAAAAAATCTGATTTTTAAAGAGATTATGTAGATATATATCATACGTAACATAAAAATTCTGCGTGTATGTGAACACTCTATTGATTCCTCTTCATAGACTCCACATATGTATGTATGCGTGTATATGTGCATATGTATAGGCGTGCTTGTGTGTGTGTGCATATGTATATATATATATATTGCATGTATGTGTGTGCATATATGTATACATACATATAGGACATGGCTAATGCAAAATTTTGTTCTGCTTGACTGTAAATGTTGGTAATAAGGGCTTTGTTTCTCATTTTGAGTAGGAGAGAAAAGGCAGACTTTTCCTTATTGAAAAAATAAAATTAATTAAAAAATAAAAATAAAGTGAAGTTCAAAGAAAACTGATAAGAGGCTTTTAAAAGTAATATGTTGGATTTATAACTTATTAGAAATAAATTTTTATTGATGTGGTTTCTTTTTACCTCACCATAGTTTTTCTAGTATCCTTTCCTTTTGCCCTCCTTGAGAGCCATCCTTCATAAAAAATATATTCTTTTAAAAAGAGCTAGCTGTATGTAATAGACTTGTGGTTTCATATATCTTTTTATCTTCTTATGAAAATGTTCAATATTTTTGGTGTCTGTTAACTTCAGAATAAAAATAACAAAATATTCTTTGTTATATGGGATGGTTTTCTGGGATGGGGAGGAAAGATGTAAAATAAAAAGTATCAATGAAAATTTATCTTAAAAAAACTAGCTCATCCCCGCAGCTAGCTAGCTGTATGACTAAAAGGGAAATCTCCTTTTAGGCAATGATATAGCTAACCAGGATATGAGAGGGGAATACAAATCCAGATAGGTCCTATCCAAACTGGAAAAACTTTAAGTGACAAACTATGTGTCTGTCAGAAAACCAACCTTACTGAGTTAAATCATCACCAGAGGACTGTTCACCAGTAACACATTTTTCAGCCCTATCAACACACTGAAGACAGTTTACTTAAAATAAGGCTTTAGAGTAATTCTGATCCACATCAGTAAAGGTGATGAAGTCATAGGTTCTTGAAATACAAAGAGAAAGCCAACCACAACTGACATTTAAAGTTTCCAAGGCACTTTATAATCATTATTCATTTGTGCCATGGAATAACCTTGTGAGGAAGTTACTATGGATGTTATTATCCCTAATTTAAAGATGAGTGAACTGAAGATTAGAAAAATTGGAATCAGAGGATCAAGGATTCAAATTCTAATTCTGTTACTTACTACCTCACTGAAGCTCCATGAGCCTGGGTTTCCTCATTCGTCAAAAAAAAAAAAATCTAGTAATGTGTTGACTACAGGGTCTATACTCTGAAAAGTCTCAAAAACATGGAGAAGTAGAGCTAGGTCTAATGACTTTGGAAGTTGACTTCTAAGGTCTCTTCCACTTTGAGAGCTGTGATTTATTATCATTTTACCAGTAATGAAAGTGATACCAAAAGGCAGTCCATGAAAGAGCCAGGATCCGAACTCAAGTCCTCCAATGCCACCTTTTCCACTGTTACCAAGCTATTTTGGCCAATAAACCTCCTGTTTTGCATCAGACAAAAACACCCCATCAGGGATTTAAGAGCAAAGGATAAGGGTAGCCTCAAGCAGCTTTCCCATTCCATATCAATCACCATGGCAGGTGTCAATTTAGAAGAGGCTCTCCCACAGAGAAAAGGAAGGATGTCATTCTGGTCAATGAAAAAAACAAGGATTCCAAAATTCAATTACTGGGAAACTCCAATCACTTTACCTTCTTTTCATCCCTAATTAGTTCTCTGGAGAAAGCATGCGAGGTGTACATTCAGTTAATAAAGTGAATCTAAAAACAACTTGGGCCAGCCAACCACAATTTCATTAGGGAAGAAAAAGGACAATGAATATTGGATTCTACTTCTCCTTCAAAACATGCCAAACAATCTAGAATACTGTCAATTGCTTTTGTCCAAACCTGCTCAAAAGTACATTAATCAAGTAAGCAATGTCACAGGAAAAAAAATCACTAACCTGCAGTTTCATGATGTTTCAGGAGCCTAACTCTAGAATCCTAATGTCTCTTGAAGTAAATTTCTAATTCAATTTTTTTTTCCAAAGGTGGGGTGCAGTGGGAGGGGAAATAGGGAGAAAAGACTCATCCAGCTCCCTTAATGTGATCCAAACAAAGTGGCCATTTAAATACAGCAAGTCATTTTTACCAAGAGACCCTTCCGAGTCCTTCTCACCTGAACCCGGGGTGTTGTGTAACAGATTCCGAAGCTTGCTGCATAGCTGGATCATGCTGTCTAATTGTCTGTTTATCTTCACATCCTGAATCCAGGCAGGTGTGTGACACACTGGACATTCCGTACCGATGCAGTCGCCCACGCACATACTTAAGAGAATAAAATCATTCTGAAATTAGCCCAACATTATAAGTCCAAAAGAAAAGATGAATGAAGTTAATTTTTTTTTTGGCAATGTTTTAAAATTTCCCGGCGTTACCCACAATGATCTAAAAACAGTGGTCTTCAAAGTGGAGGTCCCTGCCAAGTATGGAGGCATAACATAATCCCAAGGGGTGTGTAATTAACCAGTGAGATTGGGAATATGGGTCACATCTCATTCTCCCCCATAATAACTAATCATGAGGCTTGTCTCCAACATAACTACACCCACCCATTAAGTATTTTCCCCACTCCTAGCCTTGTCCATTATATAAAAGATTAATAGGCAATTTTTTTACACCAGGTCAAGCTATATATTTGTTATAAGAGTTTTGTTATTCTTTCACCCCTTCAATGAAGGAGAAATAAAAGTGAGACAAAATAAATGCTTGCTAACTGAAAAATAAAATATTTTTTAAAACAGTTCAAGATTTATCCAGTTTCTACATCGTCCAAATTACATTAGCGGTTGCCTAATTACAGAAAGGTCAATAAGAAGTTCAAACCCTTACCCCAAAGCTTTTCCAATTACTTATCTTGTTTAATTTGCTCTTGTATTTTTAAGTAGCTAGAATCTTAACTTCTTATTTGACCGGAATTACTTAAGTGAGTAATATTATCAATTAACTCTTAAAAAGTAAACCCCCTTTGACCCAGCAATAGCACTTCTAGGGCTATATTCCAGAGAGATCATACAAATGGGAAAACGACCCACATGTACAAAAATATTCATAGCAGCTTTTTTTGTGGTGGCAAAGAACTGGAAATTGAGGGGATGCCCATCAATTGGGGAATGGCCGAACAAGCTGTGGTATATGAATGTAATGGAATACTATTGTGTTATAAGAATGATGAACAGACTGATTTCAGAAAAATCTGGAAAGACTTCTGTGATCTGATGCTGAGTGAAGTGAGCAGAACCAAGAGAACGTTGTACACAGTAACAGCCACGTTGCACGATGACTAATATTGACAGACTTAACCCTTCTCATCAAAAAAAGATCTAAGACATCTCCAAAGGCCTCACGATGGAAAACTATCCACATACGAAGAAAGAACTATGGAGTTTGAATGCAGACTGAAGCATACAATTTGCTATTTTTTTCTTCTGTTGTGTTTTGTTTCCTCTTTCTGGTGGTTCCTCTTGCTGGTTCTAATTCTTACTTACAGCATCACTAATGTGAAAACATGTTTAATGGGAATGTATAAGTTTAGCCTATATCAGATTGCGTGCCATCTTGGAGAGAGAAGTAGGGAGGGAGGGAGAGAAAAATTTAAAACTCAAAAGCTTACGGAAGTGATTGTTGATAATTCAAAATAAATTAATTTTTAAAATTAAAAAAAAAAAGGAAACCCACATGGATAGTGCAAGGGGGAATTCCAGATAACCAAAGATTGAGGAGGGAAACCACAAAAATAATCACTTTTTAGAAAGACAGCTTTTTATCATCCACAAATTTTAATTTAGTAAACTGTTGACTGCAATGTCCACACTCTGAAGAGAGTCTCAGGGCATATACAGAAGTACAAGTATCTGTTTGATGAGGTCGATAATATTCGGAGTGTGGCTGTCCAGAAAGAATTCAGGGGGGCAGAGGTTCTCCTAATCAAGAGGACTTTATTGACGCAAAAGCAGCAGGCTAGTCCTTAGGAGCACTGGCAGCCTGAGATAAGACAGAAGCTTGCTTTCATACCCAGGTGTGGGGCACTCAGCTAGGGGTGGGGGGTATGCTACTAAGTGGGCAGTTAACCACAGGAGAGGAAATCAGGAAGGAGGTAGGTGTTTAAGGGTAGGCAGAAAAGGAGAAGCAGGTGTGTTGGGTACTTTACAAAACAGCTCAGGGATGTGGTCACAAAGCAACTTAACTTGCAACATTCAAGGATACAGGCACAAAAAGGATATAGGGGTTAGCTAGGCACGCAGAAAATAACAAGGTTTTCTATCAACAGATAGGGCCCTCTGTTACTGGGCAGACTTAGATTTAGGCAAGGTTCTCACTGTTGCTGGGTAGAAGTCAGCCACATCACACTGACTTTAGTTGAGCAGAATAAAAACAATCGATCACTCACTCAATCAATATTTATTAAGCTCCTACTATATGCCATGCATTGTGCTAAGCACTGGGGATATAAAAAGAAGCAAAAGACAATACCTGCCCTCAGGGAGCTTACAATCTACTGAAGGATACAATATGTAAAAAAGTAGATACCTACAAGATCCATATAAAAAATAAAATAGTCCCTACTCCCAAAGAGCTTACAAGGATAAGACACAAATCTAGATGAAATGCAGTAGAGAGCCACAAAACCAAATGCTATGTGAGGGTCAAGAAGGAAAGGAGGGAAACCACAGAAGACTTCATGGAGGCCACAGACACACGGAAGTAATCAAGCTTCAATGAGGCAGTGATGAAGATGTGACTCTGAAGCCACTTGTGTGTACTTAAAGTTTACTAGAATGGATTCAAGGCTGAATCCATATTTCCCCTGGGACAAAAACTACAGCTGTTAACACACATCGAAAGCTGAGAAGGGCAAATTCTTGACAAATGACAGCCAGGTAATTTTGCCACAGTCACAAAAAAATTTTATGGCTATCATAAAGGTGGTTTCAAGGGACTTAGAAAAGAGTTTTGCTTTTGGGTTTTTTTTCCCCTTTTTGTCTGAATGTTTCAGGTAGTTTTTGAATTACTGACCTTTCAGTCTGCACTGGCTCCTATGACTTCCATTTTCTCAGTCTATATTGGGGGAGTTATTTAGTGTTGACATAGGTTAAGTTCTATTTGGCTAGATGATTTGCAAAAAAGACTAACCCACCCTCCTGAAATTCAAGTCAACAAGTATTTACTAAGCACTTACCAGAAATGACAAATGGTTAACATGGATAACAAAATGGTTCCCAGGGGAAACAGACAAAATGCAACAGTCCTTCCATTCCATTGGAAGGGATCCATCTGAGCACAGACAGATAAACAAGTAACAGGGTAAGCCGACAATGGAGGTAACAGCATCAACTAGGGAAGATGATGAGAGTTTCCTATAGATCAGCAGCTCCCAATGAGTGGTTTAGGAATGGTCCAAGGGATTCACGCTAAAAATTCTTTAATGGAGCTTTAAGCAATAATAATATTCACATTAAATTACCCTAGGAGTTCACAACACGTTGTTGCTCCTCTTGTTGTTACTGTTGAAAGCACTCTGCAGAATTAAAAACCAGCAGGAGGACCTCACAAGAGTTAAGCCAATAAATTACAGAAGTTAAAATGAAATCCTCAATCTACAGCCTAATAGTTCAGTGAAATAAATTTCCCCATTATCCATGTCAAAAAACAAAAAAAAAAAAAAGAGTAAAGCCAAGATAGGCTGAGATAGTATACTGCAGGCATGATGGCAGCAATAGTAAGTTGGAGCACTGAGTTTGGGGTACAGCAAGTGGACCGATTTGGCTCTCTACTAGACGCTAGAGTGCATGAAGGAGAGTAATATGTATAAATTTAAAATGTAGAATGGAGCTAGGCTACAGACGGTAATGCCAAGCTGGGAGTCATCCCTTAGGATCTAATAGTTATTTGGAATGCAATGTTTGGCAAAGTACAAAAATCCTCAAACCTAGTGTGGATTGCTATGTGCAACATACAGCCAGTCTCACAGCATCCAATCTTTCACCGCTCCCAATGACCACTACTAATTTTATTTTCCTTATCTGGTATTTTATTCCATGAAGCCCCTCAGCACCTGCATCTCTAGAGGAGAAAAGGGCTGCAGAATCTAAGAACATAACAGACCTGAAGATCATATAGTCCACCCAAGCCCCTTATCTGTAATACAGAAAGGGTTATCACACAGCTAGTAATATTTTTTTCACTTCCTGATATATTGCTGTCACAGAATCATAGGACCGCAAGTTCTGACCCAATGGCACTTCAGAAGCCACCTAGGTGAATCTTATTATACAGATGAGACCACTAGATGTCAAAATGACTGCCCAAGGTTATACAGGAAATGCCAAAGGATTTGAACCCTGTGAGTGTCTGCAAATACAACAACAGTTATTCCTAATTCTAAGGTAATAACTATTCTAGACAGTTTTCTAGGTAGATAGCTTTAAATATTGAAATTTTTAAAAAATTTTATGCAAACCTTTCTAGTTATTTTACAAGTTGTCTCACTCATTAGAATGTACCCTCCTACTCTCCAAGGGAAGTCACTGATAAAAAGAAGGTCCCTGGTATATAGCAAAATATTTATAGCAATACTTTTTAGGATAGCAAAGAAGTGGAAATAAAACACGTTATCTATCTACTTTGGAGAATAGCTAAACAAACTGTGTTACATGAATGTAACAGAATCCTACCATGCTACAGGAAATGACAAAAATAATGAATACAAGAGAAGCATGGGAAGAATTACAAGAACTGATGCAGAGCCAAGTAAATGATATACACAAGTACAACAAGGCAAACAGAAAAAATCTTTCGCTTTAAAAAAAAATCTTTATTATATGGGCTGGGAGAGAAGTGAAAGAGAAACACATGAAAATGCAGAGAATATAAAACAAGATATCAATAAAAGCTTTATCAAAAAATAAAAGGTTTGTAAAAAATAAATAAATAAAAAGGACTCCTTGGGGTCAGGAACTATTTTTTGGCTTGCTTTTTAGATTCCAAGCACTTAGCACAATGTCTGAACCACAGTAAACCCTTAATAAACACATAATAAATATTTGCCAATAGTAACTTATTACTTGAACTAAAGTCAAACTTTTATTACTTATTAATACTCCTAGGTTATCAATTGGTACATCTATTATCATACTGTGGTGTGAATGTAGACAAGAGATTGTGTGAGACGTGGATGTGAATGTATACTGACCCAAGGAGCTGGCCGGGAAATTGCCTGCCTTGGTTTTGGGTCATTTGCCTCTTTCTGTATAAAAATAAAGGACTGGCAATGGTATGACTTCCTGCCAAAGCCTTATAACAAGACAGACTTTCTGCAAAATTAATTACTGAGTCAAAAAACAGAAAGAGCCTCTTCTCATTTTCCTACACCAATCCCCAGGAAAAACACATTATTCACTGCTCAGGTAAGTAGGCTTTTTCTTTTCAACAACAGTCTTAACATAATCTACTATGCTCACATCACCAACACAAGGCACCTCCTGGTCAGCTTGCAAATAGTTTCCATCTCCCTGGCACTGTTGTGTTAAAAGGCTGTGAAAGAAATATATGTAACCCCTGCCATTCCAAGAGTTCAAGCAAGAGAACTTTGGGAAAAAATTGTTTCCAAACCCTAAAATGTTCTCATCATCAACAAACAGAAGCACTTCTTGAGGGTCCATTCATGGAGTCCCCTGCACTCTTGAGATTTTATTGCAGTGTTGTTTTTATTTTTAATATGTTGACTGATTTTACTGGGTTTTTTTCTCTTCCTTTTTTTTATTTTTATTTTTTAATGGGGAGGGAGGGAAGAGAGAAGAAGGATACAAAGGGAAATGTCTAGGAATTCTTAACCTGGAGTCTGTGAACTTTTTTTAAAAAACATATTAATAACCATATTTCAATATAATTGGTTTCTTCTGCAATCCTACATATTTTATTTTATTCATTTAAAAATTATATTCTGGGAAGAGGTCAGTAGGTTTCACCAGACTGCCAATGATTGGCATCCATGACACAAAGAAAGCTTAGGGATCCCTGATATAGCTATACAAATAAAGCTTATTAAAAAAAAATGTTGACATGGTGCAAGTCAACAGATTCTAGAAAATTAAAGCACAAGTCATTCTGAACAGAATGGCACTTTTAATGATGCTGAATATCTTACATAATGTTTATATGTCAAATCAACTGGCTCATAAAAATCTCCAATAATATTTCATTTTCTAAACAACATCTTAATCTAGACTAAATACTGAATCAAAGATAACCTAGGGGTGAGGAGAAAGATGGTGAAAAAAAGTCCTGAAAATGAATCCTTGATCTCTAGGATGAGAATCACCACTCTCTAGCAATACCACTGTTTTGCTATTATCTGTCAAGCCTAAAGTCTGAAACTACTGAAAGGAAGACGGGAATGACACCATGGTCTATCTTATCTATCTATTTAGCCTGCAGATTCTTAAAGCACAGAGGTAAGCATGTGATACCTGAGGCTTCTAAGAGGGGATTTTTCTTTCATTAAAAGAACCTCCAGCATTTGCAGCATGTAAGAACAGTCAATCTATACTCGTTCTGTGCAGATGCAAGGATGTAGAATTAACCGGCCCTAGCAATGGCGCAATTTGGCAAGCCTCCCCAAAAAGACCAGCACTGTACAACTGTTCAGGAGAGCTCTCTGAAAATGCTTTAAAATTATAGAGTAGCAGCCCGACAGTTTGCTGTCATGTGTCCCACCATCTCAATTTTACCTTCCAATACAGTGTGATATGCCAAAGGTAGCCTTTAGAAAACACGCCATTCAATCAGTAGCACTTGCTCATAAAACCTTTTGTCTTTTCAGTTATCATTGGCTATTTCCTCTGTTCCCTGAAAGCCATTCATATCAGGCAGACTGTCTAGATTACCTAGAGTACCTAAACTCTAGGTACTCTAAACTTATGCATAAGCTTATACATAACATACATGTGTATATTATACTTCAGTACACTATGTATAAGCTTATGCATAATATACACTGCCCAGATGTAGAGGATTCCAATATTTATAACATATATATATTCTTTAAAAATACATACATACTGCTCAGCAGATGGACAGATTCCAAATGCGCAAAGAATGTGAGCAGTGGCCTTGAGTCTCAATACATAAGACAACGAACCAGATGTTGTAGCAAACCATCAGTATGTTCCTGCGCTCACCTTTATTAAGCAATATGCAAACAAACACTATAGTACAGCAAGAAGAGGTGCTGTGCAGAGGCTTGGGGGCGTAAGACCTGGCCAGGCTCACATGTTGGCTCCAATACCTAGAACTTTGAAAAAGGACAGGTCATTTAACCTATTTCACAGTGCTGGTAATTACTTTGTAAATTCTACAGCACAAGTGAATTCTTATTTTTTATTTTTAAAAGGGGCAGAACTTTTTCAAGGCTTCTACCCTGTGCTACTCATTCATTCATCAAGCATTTATTAAGTACCTACTATGCCAGGCACCATGCTAGGCCCTAGCAATACGATTACAGAGAATGGGTAGGTACACCAGAATAAACACCAAATAAATAAAATACCTAGCAGTTGGGATGAAGGAGCAGGGAAAAAGAAAAGGTTTCACATCGAAGTGGTGATTGAATTGTGTCTCATCAGAAAAGGGAGGGATAAGACCAATATGCTACATAAACAAAAAGCTATATTTTTTTTTGGGGGGGGGTTATTATATAATATTTATATATTAATATATATAATATATATGAAATACCGTCTCTTTATATAGCCTTCTAAGGTTTCCAAGCCTTTCCTCACAACTCTGTGAGATGGACAGCACAAGAATCATTATTCCCATTTTACTGGTGAGAAAACCAAGTCACATAAAGGTTAATTGACATGCACAAGGTCACCCAGTCAGAAGTGTTGAAGCCACTATTTAAACCCAATTCTTCCTATCTCAGTACTCTTTCCACTCCCATAAACAGAGTTTAGAGCTATAATCAAACCTACAACAAAATTTAATCTTCTGAATGACTGTCATTGCAATGTGATAATTAGATATAAATGGTAAACAATTCATATCAATTATTACACGTTATTTTTTCACAGCCAAACTTAGTTTTCAGTTTTTATTTCCTTGTCTCATTTGTACAATAGCCCCCCAACCCCCATCAGCAGTTTTCCTTTATATCATTATTTTATGTAACACTTAGCACAGGGCCTGGCACAGAGTAGACACTTAATAAATGTTTACTTGACTGACTGACTTTAATTCCTTCACACATACTAAACACTGATTAGAACACAAAGAGCCTCCTGAAGCTGACCTCTCAAATTTGAAGAATCTGCTCAAATTATCCCAGCCTAGAATTTCCTCCTTCATCCACTCCATCCCCTTATCCCCAGCCAACAGTTCCGAGAGCTACCCCTAAAATCCTCACGGTTGAAGGGTTTAAACTGCCCCAGAGCCAGATTTCTCCCAATTCAAACAATATCCAGGGTGTGTGTGGTGTGTGTCTGTCTGTCTAGTGAAGCCTATGGACCCCTTCTCAAAACAATATTTCTGACTACATAACATAAAATACCTAGGATTCAAAGAAAACCAATTTTATTTAAATAGAGTTATCAAATAAACAGGCAGTTTTCAGAAGAAGAAATCCAAAGCTATCAACTGTTAACAGGAAAAAATGCTCTAAATCATTACCGATTAGAGAAATGCAAATTAAAACAACTCTGAGGTACCACCTCACACCTATCTGATTGGCTAAGTGACAGAAAAGGAAAATGATAAATGCTGAAAGGGATATGGAAAAACTGGGACACTAATGCACTGTTGGTGGAGTTGTGAACTGGTCCAACCATTCTGGAGAACAATTTGGAACTACACCCAAAGGTCAATAAAACAACATACCCCATGACCCAGCAATACCACTAACAAGGTATGTATCCCAAGGTAGGCAAAGAAAAGGAAAAAGGACCTACCTGAACAAAAATATTTATAGCAGCTCTTTTTGTGGTGGCAAAGAATTTTTAAAAATCAGTAAAAAAAATTTACTGAAAATTGTATCAGCTGGAGAATGCTTACCAAGCTGTGGTGTATGATTGTGATGGAATACTACTGACCTATAAGAAATGATGAAGGGGATAGTTTCAGAAAAATCTGGGAAGACTTCTATGACGTGATGCATAGTAAAGTGAGCAGAACCATGAAAACACTGTACACAATAATGACTAACAATGAAAGACTTTAGATACTCTGATCAAGCCAATATTCCAAGACAGTTCCAAAGAAGCCATGATGAAAAATGCTAACCGTCTCCAGAAACAGAACTGATGAACTCTGCCTACGACTGAAGTGCACTTTTTTTTACCTTCTTTATTTTTCTCAGTTTTTGTGTATATGTGTTTTCTTTTGCAACATGGCTAATATGGAAATATGTTTTGCATGACTTCACATGTATAATCAACATCATATTGCTTATCTTCTCAACGGGGTGGGGGTATATCAAGGAGAGAGAATTTGGAACACAAAATTTTAAAAAATGAATGTCAAAAAATTTTATATTACATATAATTGGAAAATATTTAATGAAGTAAATAAAAATACATTTTTAAAAAGAAAGTTATTAAAGTTTTTAAAACTTCACACACACCAAGAATCTCTGCCTTAGTAGAACATAAGCTTTTTGACGGCAAGAATTTGTCCTATTTACATCTTTGCATACCCATACCTAGGAGAGTTCCATGTCCAATATACATATTTGATAAACTGAATAGTTAGGTAAACTGAAATACAAAGACCTAATGACCTGAAAACAAAGCAAAGAACTTGGTGAATTTATGAACTCTCCCCCGCTTTTCTGGCCAGACTCGACGCTTATACCAATAAAATCTGGCAATTACTAGAAAGTGACATTTATCATTAAGATCCACAGTAAAAAAAAAACCTGTTGCTAGAGAACAAAAAGTCATGCTGCAATTGTTTAAATTCTCTAAAAGACAGCTATTTTCTTCCCCCTAGGCATGCCATAAAACCTATAACAGTTCCTGGTTCCTTAGTGACAAAAAAAGTTAAAAGCCATGGAGAGTATTTTGCGAGACTCAATTCTCATAAAGTTCTTTGAGTTCAAGCCTCAGTCACTCACCTGCAGAAGATATGTTCACATCCTCCTAAGCACACCGGTTCCCTCAGGATATTGATGCTGTTCGAAGAAAGAACAATGTCAATAAACAGACAGATGCAAGAAGATCACTTTTATCCCTGAGGTGTAACTATACCCAAGGCCCAAGCATACCAACTAGATTTCCCTGGCTTTTAAACACAGGATATTAATGAGGTATACTGCTCAGGTGACAGCTTATTACTCTCTGATGAAAGGCCGGATTAAAACCTGTCTGTAGGATTCCAATGGCAAATCTGATTTATATTGTAAACCTATTATCCAAGCAAAAGTCTAGACTGGCCCATTTCTCCATGAATATACAGAATGCCAGGATAGAGAGGAACACACATGATTATCCAGCATGCTATAAATTGACACTAATACTTTAAACGTATTGTCTGCTAGTTCTTTGAACTGTCAAGGTTAACTCTCTGAAATAGTGATTCTCAAAGCTCACACGCAGTCCATGAGGTTTTATCCACTCCATAGTAACTCAATGTTAAAAGTGACCAGAACGTTTGTTTATAAATCCACAAAACTTACTCCCAAGAGGTCGTTCCCTTGTTAAAACACAAACTTTTTAAAATAACTACTCTTCCTTCCATTCTGCTCTGCCCGGGCCTAGCTTCTTCCTACCCCTCAGAATTCCTGAAGTTGTTGGGAGTATGTTCTACAGAAGAGAAAATAGATATTTTATGTAACATAAATATAATTTGGGCTGGAAAAACTGAGAAACTGTGGGATCACAAAGGGTTCATATCAGTCACAGGACAACCACCATAGTTTATATGTGACATACATTACGTATTTACTTGCTAACACAGACTCATCAGAAGCAGTTCGTTCACTGTTGCCAAAAATCACTGACGGGGTGGGAGGGGAAAAGAGATAAGGTGCTATTTGATGTTGCTTATTTTTAACTGTGGCCAATGGGAACCACGGAAGGGAAGGGAGTAGGCAGCATAAACTTTATGAAACATTGTTTAGAGGGTGGCTTGGTAGGAAGGTAGACAGACTGCTGTTGTTTTCTTTGTTGCTCAGTTGTTTTTTCCATCTTTTCCTCTTTGTGACCCCATTTGAACTTTTCTTGGCAAAGATATTAGAACGTTTTGCCCTTTCTTTCTCCAGTTCATTTTCCAGATGAGGAAACTGAGGCAAATGGGTTAAGTGCTTGCCCAAGGTCACACAGCTAGTAAGTGTTTGAGGCTGAATTGTAATTCAGGTTTTCCTGACCCTACACCTAATGCTGTATGCACTATGCCACCTAGCAGCTCCAGAAAGATTGCTAGAGGGGCCTGGATTCAGGAGGACCTGAGTTCAAATCTGGCCCCACTGCCTAAAATAACAACAAAAAAAAAAGATTGCTAGATAGATACAGGGATGGATTGATTTTGTCTTTACATAGCCCAGATATCACCCTAGATCCCTTTCCCAACTCCTCCCAGAGTCATCCCTAATAATACTTTTATAAAAGAAAAAAAAGAGAAAAATCAGTAAGCATAATCAATATATTTTTTTTAAATTGCCACATGTAATGTACCATAACTGTGGCCCTGCACTACTCTAAGAGGGAAGGGTTTACTCACAGTTGTTCTTTGGGGTCAAACTTGGCCTTTATAAATTCATAACACTGGGTTTCAATTGCTTTGTGCCGATTGTTTTTCCCCCTGACATTGTGGTGGTCTAGGCATGTACAGTTCTCCTCGCTTAGCTCCCACGTCTCCAGGCTGCACTGCTGACTTATTCCTACAAAACTTTCTCTACAGACAAAACCCTTCTCCTACTCCTCACTCATCCACTAATTACTTCTCACTTTGGAATAACTCCCAGTCCTTGAGGCCTCACTTTCTGATTGGCTGGTCTCTCTCAGAGCCTCCAATTTTCAGGCCAAAGATGTCTTCAATTCCTTTCTTAGATGCAATGCTGATTCATCTCCACATAGCCTTCCTCTACCAGGCGTGGCCCTAGCAAAGCTGGCTACCTTCTCCTCTCCTTCCTTTTTCAGCTCTCTTTAAAGTATAGCCTTCCCCTTTTAGGATGTAAGGTCCTTGAGGGCAGGGTCAGTCTTTATTTCCCCTTCTATTTTTATCTCCAGAATTTAGCAGTTCCTGGTTCATAGTTAAGTATTTAATAAATGGGCTGATTGCATCAGTTTTATGTTTCTTGCGGCCCAGTAATATTCTATTACATATTCATGCACCATAATTTATTTAGCCATTCCATAATTGATGGATATCCACTTTATCTCCAGTTCTTTCTTACCACAAGAAGTGCTATCATAAATATTTTTTATATATATGGAGCTTTTCTTCTTGTCAATAATCTCCTTAGGGTATGTGACTAGGAGGAGAATATCTGGGTCAAAGAGCATTTTAGTCACTTTATTTGCATAATTCCAAATTGTTTTCTGGAATAGTTTTACTGATTCACAGCTCCACCAACCATGCATTAGTGTACCTGTCTTTCTACAACCCAGGAGTGAGGCCCTAACACCTAAATGCATCAGATAATTCTATTAAAGAAACCGCCCTATTAAACCAAATAAAAAGTTATAACGTGCTACAGGGGGAGGGGGGAAAAACAGGAAAAGGCCAGGATTTACGTGAGCACCAAGCTCCCTGCTTGGTTTGCTACAGTATCCCTAGACCACTTTAAGTATTTATAGCATTATATCCCATTCCCTGTGTAAACACATCACATATCAATAAAAATACTTCCGCATCTTTAGAAAGATCAAAAGTGTCACACAGCACATTTTAGTAGCTAAAAGCATTAAAGTGAAATTGAGCTCTTCAGAAGCGGCCCAAAAGCAGAGTATACAACCACATTCTTGCTCTCAAGAGATCTAAAAGGGTGTTCACTGACATTATACAAGCCATTACTTTTTAAAAACTCACAATACCTGACTTCTTCTATCACATTTCACTTGATAAAAATGAGTGGTACATATGTCAGACGTCTTTGTGGTCCTGGCTAAGTAAGACCCTTCTTCTTTCTGACAGGCTGACAAAGCTGAAATGTAGGCAATACGCCATTATTTTGGGAAGTCCATAGGCTTTTTTAGACCGTGGATATTTTAAGACAATTCTTTATATGTGTTGCGCTTTAGTCATTTACAGTTGTATTGGTGACCCCTTTGGGGGTTTTCTTGGCAAAGATAGTGGCTTGCCATTTCCTTCCCCAGCTCATTTTACACAGGTGGAAACTGAGGCAAACAGGGTGAAAATGACTCAACCAGGGTCACACGGCTAGTGTCTGAGGCTGGATCTGAACTCATGAAGATGAGTCTTCTGATTCTAAGCCCAGTGCTCTATCCACTGCACCACTTAACTGTCCTACTCTTAACCAATGTAAGAGTACATCACAGCTACTGTGTTGGTGTCCTAGCTCCCTTAACCTGGGACTCATGGATAGATTTTAGGGGAATCCATGAACTCGTTTTATTTTTCACTAACCTCTATGTAAAATTTAGCATTTTCTTTAATTGAAAATATTGGAAACAAACCATTATTCAGAGGAGTCCACAGGCTCTGAGAGACTACCAAAGGCAGTCTATCCCCTCAGGCTTAGCACAGAGCTAGTCACAAGCTAAGTGCTTGATAAATGCTTTTTCATTCATTCATTTTCAACAGTCATTACAAGACCAGGATGCTTCCACTCCAGCCATCCTCATTCTCTCTCCCACCAAAACCCCCAGGACTCTGCCCTTGAGTCCCTGGGCTCAAATAAGTGAGATTTCCCCAGATCCAGACCAAGCTTCCACCTCTGACACCCTTTCCCTACCCCCATTCCCTTTGACTTTCTAGCTCCACTTTAAGAGCTATCCATGGCACAGTGGATAGAATACTGCTTGGAATAAGGAAGATCTCATCTTCATGAGTTCAAATCCAGCCTTAGATGCTTACTAGCTGTGTGACCCTGGACCAGTCATCCTGTTTGCCTCAGTTTCCTCATCTGTAAAATGAGCTGGAGAAGAAAATGGCAAACCATTCCAGGATCTTTGCCAAGAAAACCCCAAATGGGGTCATGAAGAGTCAGATACAAGTTAAAAAAACAGAACACCCCCATTAGAACATAGTAAGTTCCTTGAGGAAAGGGGCTGTCTTATTTATACAGTGTCAGGTACACAGTAAGTATACCTAATGGACAATAATATTAAAACTCTTAACTGGCACTCAGGTATTCTACTACCCACTCCCCCATTATCTATCCAACATTAGCTCCTACTTCTTCAACACAAACCTTCTCCTCTGAGTCATACAAGTCCCTCCACTATGCTCTGCCCCAAACCCATCACTTCCTATTCCCTATTCCAGGCTTTTACTACCTGACTGCTCTTTCTTCCACCACTTTGAGAACAGAACCACAGAACCAAACCCAGAGTTGGAAGGGATTTTAGAGGTCCCATCAAATACACAGCACCCCATCCCCACCCTCTTTTACAGACAAGAATCCTGAAACCTAGGGCAGTTAAATGACTTCCTAAGATGGCAGGATTCAGGCCAGGCAACTCTCCAAGTTTAAAACTCTGGTACGACATACCTGTGCCACCCCCTCAATCCCACCTATCCTTTGAAATCTAGTTCTAGTCCCAGAAATCACTTACTTGTCCCTCTAAATAATTAGCACAAGGTCTCTAGGGTTCTAAACTAAGCATTAACTTATACTAGTCTTCATAAACTGTTTCATGCCAATCTCCTCAACTAAACTATAAAATCCTGGAGAGTCAGGGTCATGCCTTACAATTCCACGGCACTCCCCTTTAGCACCAGGGTGCTCCATGCCCATAGTAGATAGCCAACAAATGCTCATTAATGAATGAAACGGACAACTGGAGAGAACCTCATTATGATCTGCTATGGTCCAGGTGATTTCAACGGTTACTTCTAATCTGATTTCCACTTCCAGCCTAGACATTATTTCAGGCCTTTTTTTTTTTAAACACTGCTGGGTTTTATATAACAAAGGATATTTACATAACAGGATTTCTGTTCCTTGAAAATTCAAGGATTTTGCTTTTTTCCCCCTTCTCTTCCATT